GAACTAGATGGTACCTAGCTATCATTGCTGAACATTTTGATCAAAGATTCTATAGAGTAATCCTGATGGAAAGGGGGAAAATGCAGAATAGAATTTCACATTCCCTTGGACTCCAGACTTTTTTTTTAGAGCCATGGAAGGTGGATAAACCCCTGAAACTATTGTCCTGAGATAATCTTTAAACCTTAAGCCAAAAATATTCCCCTGAAGTCTTCTTAAAACTGAATAGTAGTTTAGCCTAACTAGTAAAAAATGTCTGCCTTGCTTTCACAATCTGTGTATATGGGATGAAGTTGACAGTAGCAACTCTAAAGATCAGATAGGAACTTTAGGGATCAGTGAGTTTATGCTAATTGGGAGGAACTCGGAAAAGGAGGGTGAGAATGGTTGCACAAGTTGGGGGGAATTTTATGTCACTGAATTGTACGTGTAGAAGCTGTTGAATTGGTGTATATTTTGCTTTGTATATTGTCAACGTAATAAAATAAAAATTTAAAAGAAGAATAAAAAGTTATTTAAATGACAAACATTTTATTGTATGTGTGTGTGTGTGTGTATATATATATATATATATATATATATATATATGTTTTAGCACAATAATGAATGAATGAATGCTTATGGGGGGAAGGGGCATGAACTGAGAAGGAGCTCAATTTTTACACATTCTTCCAGTTATAACAGTGTGGTGGAATCAGGCATAACCTTTACATTTCTTAAGGTTTCTCAGGCTCACACACAAGAACATAGATTAGTTCCTCACTCTGTCCTTATCTTTCATGATCTTAACACTTTGATTCTGATCAGTTGTGTTGCAGAATGTCTCTCATTTTGAGTTTATCTGATGTTTTCTGATGATTAGATTGAGTTTACTGATTTTTTACAAAAATATCACACAAGTGGTACTGTTTCCTTGTCACTGCATCATACCAAGGGGTGGGTTCATGATATCAGTATGTTTTATTATACCCGATGTTCAACGTTATCACTTGGCTAAGGTGGTTTCTTATGTATTTCTCCTCTATAAAGTTACCACCGTTTCCTTTGAAGTTTATAAACATCTTAGAGATACTTAGAGATTATGCAAAATATCTTGTTTCTATTCAAACTTTCATTCACTAGTTTTATTGTCCATCAGTGGATCATCTGCAATAGATATTGCTGTGGTGTTTGCTTGATAGTGAGTTTTAACTTCCCTCTTGCCTTGTACATTCATGGATTGGAATTCTTCTGGAAGGAAAAGCTACATGGACTGGATTTAGGTGCATAATGTTATATACTTTGAACCATTATTTTATGATCTTTTGATTCTTGGGCTTAGTAGCTTGACAGCCATAGTCTTAAAAAAACATGCCTTTATTCTTATTTAAGGATTTACCTTTTATCAGTGTTTGTCTAAGGAGCTCTGGTGGGGTAGTGCCTAGAGCATTTGACTGCTAACCAGAAGTTTGGTGGTTCAAACCCACCAGCTGCTCTGCAGAAGATGAGGCAATCTCATTCCATAAAGATTGCAACCTTGGTATCTTTAAGCTTGCAAATGGCCATCTAAAATACAACTATTGGTCTCTACTCATCTGGAGCAAAAGAGAAAAAAAGAAAACCAAAGACTCAATGAACAAAATAGTCTATAGGACTAATACTTTACATGAACCACGACCTTATCTACCCTGAGACCATAGAACTAGATGATTCCCACTGACAGTTCTGATCAGAGTTGCAATAGATCGGAGAAAATTGTGGAACAGAACCTCAAATTCTTAAAAACTCCAGACTTACTGGAACAGTTGAGATTGGAGTAATCTTTGAGACTATTGCCCTGAGATACTCTTTAAATCTTGAACTGAAACAAGCCCCTGAGGTCATCTTTTAGCTAAATGTTTCGCTCACAGAACAGGATATCGTCCAAGAGTACAGTGTTCCTTTAAAAAATCATCTATGAAGAGTATGAAGGGAGGGACACTGGGAGGAGGTAACTATGGGGAGGAAGTGGGAGGGGAGCTGCTGCATTGTAAATTTTGGTCAATGACATGAGACAAAGTATATGTGAACTGCTGTATGAAAAGTGAATTTACTCTGTAAATCTTCACCCAAATCCTAATAAAAAAAAAAAAAAAATCATCTATGAGACCAAACAGTCAACTAAATCCAAACCAAATCATACCCATTGCCATTGAGTCAATTCCAACTCACAGCAACCCTTTAGGGCTCTAAATCTTATGGAAGCAGACTGCCACGTCTTTCTCCCCAGGAGTGGCTGGTGGATTTGAACTTCTTACCTGTGGGTTAGCAGCCAGGTGATTGAACCACTGAAACACGAGGGCTCCTTAAATGGTCAACAATTACTTTAAAACAAAGATGAGAAGGTAAGGGGGCAGGGAAAGTTGACTAACAGGAATAGAACAACCGGAACGAAAATAATGAGAACACTCACCCTCTGTGAAGAATGTAACCAGTGTCACTGAACAATTTGTGTAGAAATTGTTGAATGGAAACATAAACTACTGTGTAAACCTTCACTGAAAAACAAATAAAATATTGTTCTTCATCCTACTTTGGTGATTAGTGACTGGGGTCTTGAAAGTGTGTGAGCCGCCATCTAAGGTGCAACTATTGGTCTCTCTCCAGAGCAAAGAAGACTGAAGAAAATCAAAGACACAGAACACAATTAGTCCATATGAATAATGGGGGCACGTGAACCCCAGCCTCCAGGACCCTGATACCAGAAGAACTAGATGGTACCCAGCTACCACTGTTGAGTGCTCTGAAAGGGATCACAATAAGAGGTACTGGATAGAATAGGGGAAAATGTGGAATGTAACTCACAATAATAAAAAAGAACAGGCTTACTGGTCTGATGAAGACTTGGTGAACCCCTGAGACTATGGTCTTTAAACACACTTCAAGCTAGGAACTAAACTTAACCCCCATGACTCAACTTGCAGCCAAACAATAGACAGACGTATAAGGTGAACAGTAATATCAGGAGGGTTTGCACTCATTACAATAATCAAGTACATAAGACCCAGAGGATAGCATTTGCCCAGAGATGGAGCTCGGAAGGTCAGAGAGGATAGGAAGAGTGGGCATAGGGAGGAAGTGGAAGAATGCTATTACATTGTGGGGATTGCAGTAATGCCACAAAACACTGTGTATGGACTGTTGGATGGAAAAACAATTTGCTCTGTAAACTTTCACCCAAATCACAATTAAATGCAAAAAATAATTTGAAAGAAAAAAGAAAGAAAGACTATATTCTTAAGGATTAAAAAAAAAAAACAAACCTCTGTGGTGCAGTTATACTCTGACACATGGAGTCACTATGAGTCCAAATTGACTCTTTGGCACCTAACAACGACAACAACAAAAGTAATATGAGGTATGGGAAACATTCAATACACCTTCAGAAATTGAAGCCCAAGGACAAAACCATATGGTAAATTTAGGTTTCATTGATGAAGAGCTAGAAAAATTAAACCTTGGGTGAAAAAAGCAAGGAGGTAGATATGTCAGCGAAGAGAAAATAATAGAGCCTTATCCCATGGTTAAGTGTCACCTAGACAGAAGGGCAGGAGTTCCTGGACCTTAAGCTAGGAAGGTCTGGTAGAGGTCATCCTGTCCATCCTGCCTGTAGGTTGGACAGAGATGATGGATCAGGAGAAGGGGAGAGGTGTCTCCATTAAAGGCTTTTGAGGGAATTGATTCTATGTTTTAAACACACTTGTTCTGTGTTTTACACTGCTTGCCTCAAGAAGCCTTTGTTATTGCTGTTGTTAGCTGCCATCAAGTTGGCCCCTGACTCACGGTAATCCCATGTACAACAGAGAAAATGTGGCCCAGCCCTGCACCTTCCTCATGATCAGTTGCAGATCATCACTAGGTCTTTCTTCCTAGTCTGTCTTAGTCTAGAAGCTCCGCCGAAACCTGACAGATGGGTGGTGGCTTCACATAAGGTGTACTGGCCTGGAATGGAACCAGGGTCTCCCACCTAGAAAGTGAGAATTCTGCCACTAAACCAACAATTGAAAAAAGAAAGAGAGAGAGAGAGAGAGAGAGAGATTATAGCCTTAGCAACCCTATGGGGCAGTTCTACCATGTCCTGTAGGGTTGCTAAGAGTTGGAATCAACTCAGTGGCTCACAGCAGTGTTTGTCTAAAGCATTATAATCACTTCAGTAATTTAATACTACATTACCTTTATTATGGGCAGACTGGATGATTCTCTCAGTTTTCTAAATGAAAAATAATGGCTTATTAAAACCATTAATAAGGAAAAAACAACTGACTGACTTTTTTTAAGAGGCACACCCTACACACAGGCTCTGAATTACTAGTTGGTTGTTTAGCTTGTGAATGCTTAGTAGTAAATATAATACTGTTCACGCCTAGCCACAAGTAGTTGATGGAGCACATATAAGGTTCTTTATTAGGGGAACTGTAATTTTAGCATTTCTTGACTTTCTTTGTTTACATTGTTAATTGTGGCTAAATTGCAGAGAACAAATTATATTTAGCACAGACTCTGTGAACTCAGCAATTTGTTTGTGATGAGCATAGTTACCATGCAGAGTTTGCCCAGAATGGTTAGTTGGCAGAAAAGCACTGAATTGGACTTGATTTATTTCTGAGTGAGTGACAAATGCACTTTCCAAGCATAGCATCTCTCATTTTATTTAAAAAATTGGAAAAGAACAATATTAGGTCAGAGGTTGACACATTTTTCTGTAAAGAGCCAGATGGTAAATATTTTAAACTTCGTAGGCCATATAATCTTTGTCATAACTACTCACCTCTGCTATTGTAGTGCAAAGGTAACCATAGCCAGTATACAAATGAATGTCACAGCTGTATTCCAGTAAAATTTTATTTTTAGAAAAGCATTCAGTTGGCTATTTTGGCTGTGGGTTGTAGTTTGCTGACTCGTGATTTAGGCTATAAAAATGTACATAACCCACAACTCAAAATGTACATTAACACTTATCCTTGTCTCATTTTTCTCTACAGGCAGAAGACTGATCTTTGAAAATATGTATTTGGGAGATAGACACGTATTGAATACCTTGTGCTGGTGCTGCCATCGAAAAATCTGGTTACATTCTGGGGGGGCCTGCTACCACTGCAGGACTGAACCGCCACAGCCCTGAGATGAGTGACTGGCCTGAACGGGCACACAATGAATAGATACACAATGATCAAGCAGCTTGGGGATGGAACCTATGGTTCTGTCTTGCTGGGGAGAAGTATCGAGTCTGGAGAACTGATTGCTATTAAAAAGTAAGTTGTATCCTTCATTCTTATGAATTGATTCTGAGCTATACATTGTCAACATAGTTTTAACACTGCTCTTTCCATTTCCTGTCTTTGAAAAATTTCTGAAGAAGAGTGGGTTGGAGGCATGGAGAAGAATCATAGATACTGATTTCCTGTGGATTAGATATTGTTGACTGTAATGATGAGGTCTTAAAAATATTCTCACTTTAGATTTTCTACTTTGCATGAAGTACTTTCTTATATTGTGAGGCAGTCATGGGCAGGTATGATGAACCTTGTTTTACAGGACAGAAAGCTGAGACTCTGAGAAATTAAGTGACTTATATTGAATCATTCACATGTGTGGTAATATGGTGACCATTGATTTGTTCCTACCAGCCCACTTGCCCTTTGCTACCTGGGTTCAGACCATTGTATTAGGTATTTCTTGCTGGCTTAAAACAACACACACGTATTTTCTCAGTTTCTGTGGATCTGCAGTCTGGGAACAGCTTCTCTGGGTTCTCTGCTTCAGAATCTCTCATGAGCCTTCTTCACTCAAGGTGTTGACCAGGGCTGGGGATGCGTATGAATTAAAGCATTTTTTAGGTATAAATTCTAGTTGTTATTGGAAGTAAGCATGCTGTTTCTTTCTTTTCTTTTAGAATGAAAAGAAAGTTTTATTCCTGGGAGGAGTGCATGAACCTTCGGGAGGTTAAGGTATTTATTGATACATTAGGGAATGATTTATATATTAAAATGGCTTTGTGCATACTTAGGTTTATAGTTGAAGTGTTTATTCCATTTGAATTTGTTCACAAATGGCAACAAGGGGACAAAATGATAACATTATGCAACTAATAGCTGAAAGTAGATTACTATGTTGTTATTTTAGTGAATGTACTTTTATTAGAAAGCCTGTATCTCTCCTTTGCAAACCTTTTCTGAGTCTAAATAAGACACCTTCTTCCTGGAAATATATCTCTGTAAGCTGAGTCAAATGACATCTCCCACATAATACTAGTTTTTTTTTTTTTATATCAAACTAATAAAGACTTTATTGCCCATGAATTTCTTCAAATCAAGAGCTGTGATCTGCTCTGCTTAGACCTGAAGGCACCTTACTCCCTGCCTAGAATTCTCTTCTTAAAAAGCTTGAAACCTACTTCATCTAACTCCAAGTGGATTTGCTCGGAAGCTGCTCATCATCTAGACATCTCAGCTATTGCTGATGATGCGTTTTAAGCAACCATGAAGAAAGGATGGCTGCAGTCAGCAAGAGTCCAACAAGTACTTACAGGTCAAGAAATGCTTACATATGTTACTCCTGGAGAGCCAGGAATCTAACCCAACTAAAAGAAGTAATCAGCCTGCTTGGATCATTCTAGAAGGATCTGGCAAGTTGGGCAGAACAGCTGAGGGCATCCTGCCAGGGGCTTGTCTTTCAGGGAAGAGGCTTCAGAAGAGTCTGATTTTGTTATCATTTGCTGACTGTATTTCTTTTCTCAGCTGCTTGAAATAACTTGATCCTTTTCCACATTCCCAAGCCTCTTTTCAGATTTGATACTTATTTTAACATTCTCATCTTCAAATCACTTTTTTGCTTTGTTTTATAAAAGGCATGTTCTTTTAAATGAAAAACAAAGATAATTTTACCGTTTATATTGGCCTCACATCTCTGTGAGAAGGCTTTTTGAATGAAAGAGCTCATCCCACTGGCCAAAGTTTTGAGGCTTCCTTGAAGGAGACAGTCTAGCATAATCTGACATTAAAAGAGTTTGTCTCGTGAGCAAACCAACACATGGATTTCTTTGGCTGTTGTACATGAATTAGATTGCTGCTCACTGATACAGAGAGGTTTTGAACAGCTAAGGGAGACTCTGTCTGTCACTTTGTTGTACTGCAGTGACTTCCATGTTGCTGTGAGGCTAGAGGCTGGCCACCAGTATTTCAAACACCAGCCGGGTTGCACATGGTGCACACATTGCATTGCAGCTTCCAGACTGAGACAGACTCAGAAGAAGAAAGACCCCATCCACTTCTCAAAGAGTTGGCCAGGGAACAACAATCAGAGAAACACTGTCTGAGACATTATTGTGCAACTTTATGAATAGCCTTGAAACATTGTCAGATACAGTGTAGGAAGACCAGCCCCTTAGGTTGGAAGACACTCAAAATACGAGTGGGAAAGAACTGCATCATCAGAGTAGAACTATCCTTACTGATATGGATAAAGTAAAGCTTTCGGGGCCTCCATTTGCTGACGTGGCACCACTCAATTTGAGGAAAAACAGCTGCAAACATCCATTAATAATCCAAACATGAAATGTACGAAGTATGAATCTAGGAAAATTGAAAGTTGTCAAAAATGAAATGGAATGCATAAAGATCAATATCCTAGGCATTAGCAAGCTGAAATGGACCACTTTGGGCCATTTTGAATCAGACAACCATATGACCTACTATGCCAGGAATGACAAATTGAAGAGGGATGGCGTGGCATTCATCATCACAAAGGATGTTTCAAGATCTGTCCTGAAATACAATGCTGTCAGTGGCTGGATAATATCCATACGCCTATAAGGAAGATGAGTTTACTCAAATTTACATATCAATCACCAAAGCCAGAGATGAGGAAATTGAAGATTTTTATCAACTTCTGCAGTCTGAAATTGACCAAACATACAATCAGGATGTGTTAATTATCACTAGTGACTGGAATGCAAAAGTTGGAAGCAGAAGAATCACCAGTAGTTGGAAAATTTGGCCTTGGTGATAGAAATAATGCTGGAGATTGCATGATAGAATTTTGCAAGACCAACGACTTATTCATTGCAAATACCTTTTTCCAACAACGTCAATAGCAGCTGAATACTTGGACTTCACCAGATGAATTACACAGGAATCAGATTGACTACATCTGTGGCAAGAGGCAATGGAAAAGCTCAATATCTTTAGCCAAAACAAGGACAGGAGCTGATTGTAGAACAGACGATCAACTGCTCATATGCAAGTTCACCTTGAAGTTGGAGACAATTAAAGCAAGTCCACGAGAGCCAAAATATGACCGTGAATGTATCCCTCCTGAATTTAGAGACCATCTAAAAAATAGATTTGATGCATTAAACACTAATGATAGAAAACTAGAAGAATTGTAGGATAACATCAAGAACATCATCCATGAAGAAAGCAAAAGGTCATTAAAAACACAGGAAAGGAATTAAAAATAATGGATGTCAGAAGAGACTCTGAAACTTGCCTTTGAACCGAGAGTAACCAAAGCAAATGGAAGAAATGACAAGATAAAATTGCTGGACCAAAGATTTCAAAGAGCAGCTTGAAAAGACAGAGTCAATTACTACAATGAAATGTTCAAAGACCTGGAGTTAGAAAACCAAAAGGGAAGAACACACTCAGTATTTGTCAAGCTGAAAGAATTGAAGAAAAAATTTAAGCCTTGAGTTGCAATATTGAAAGATTCTATGGACAAAATATCGAATGTTGCAGGAAACATCAGAAGAAGATGGAGGAAATACAAAGTCACTGTACCAAAAAGAAGTTGTCTATGTTCATCCATTTCAGGAGGTGGCATATGATCAAGAGACAATGGTATTGAAGGAAGAAGTTGAAGCTGCATTGAAGGAAATGGTGAAAAACAAGGCCCCAGGAATTGACGGAATACCCATCGAGATGTTTCAACAAACGGATGCCACACTGGAAGCACTCACTCGGCTATGCCAAGAGATTTGGAAGACAGCTACCTGGCCAACCTGGAAGAGATCCATATTTATATCCATTAAAGAAAGGTGATCCCACAGAATGTGGAAATTACCAAACAATATAATTGATATTACACGCAAGTAAAATCTTACTGAAGATAATTCAAAAACGATTGGAGCAGTATATTGACAGAGAACTTCCAGAAATGCAAGCTGGATTCAGAAGAGGACATGGAACAAGGAATATTATTGGTGA